TCCGGGGCGCGCTTCGGAGGAGTTTGCGCCGCCGAGGCTTCCGACGCAAGTCACAGGCACTCCGAGAGACTTTGGAGGAACAACATGACGAGTGGGAGTCGAAGGGTGACGGACGACACTTGCGCTCCCGGGCGCGTCCACGCCACGCCACGCCACGCGGCAGCGCGCACGCGGGGACCAAACTTTGATTGCAGGGCGGCCTTGACCCGCTTTTGTTTGTTCGCGCAGGATCCTTTAATCGCGCACTTGAGCTGGCGGAGAGATCCTTTCCTTCCGTCCTCCCATCTGCTCGAACCCTTCACTCCCTCCCCAACTTTCTCAGCTTCCTCCCTCTCTCTCTCCCTCGCTTGCCTCCTCCTCCTCCTCTTCTTCTTCTTTTTCTTCTCCTCCCAGCACGTTTTCTGTGGGGCTGAACAAAAAAAAAAAGAGAAGACAAGAAGAGGGACGGAGGAACAACGTTTGACTGAAGTGGAGGCAGTTGGCGGAGTTTTACGTTTACAAAAAAAAAATCCTTCCATGTGGCCCCTTCAAGTGTCACTCGAGTGCATGAAAAAGTACTTTCTTTTGATACGAGTTACGACAAGAAGAGCCAAACAGAGCTTGTTGCATTTTACAAGGCGTCATTAAAGTCCTTCGTGGGGCTTTCTGGAGAGTGCGGGGAACAAAATGTACATTCCGGAACCCAGATAGCGCACATGAGTAGACGAAGACATCATACATCTGTTAAGCAGCAGCTTCCCAAAATAAACTTAACTGTAATGGGCGTTGCGTACACGAGTACATCTTTACATCAAGTTGTGTGCGAAAAGTAAAGCAAGACTTTTGGAGGTCAAATTCCCCCTGTAAATACGGTTGATGCAGTAGGGATCGGAAATTCTGAGATTTGCTTCAAAGCACATGATGCGTGTTTGAAGAGAATTATTGAAAACCTGCAAAGCCTAGCGTTGTTACAGTTACATTTAATAATTATGTTTGTTTTTATTCAAAATAAAAGAGAACCTTTTTTAGACTTGCCGTCATTATTTTTCATTTCAAAAAGTGTTTGGCTTTTCAACTTAGTCCTGATGATACAATATAAACCAGTCTTTTCTGGATGAAACTAAACATATTGTAAATGGGCTAGTGTTTTTTTTTTTGTAATCAAAAATAAAAGCTGTTGGCAGTGTTGAAGCTAGATAACACTCTGTTGACAGCACAGAGTCTGCATCAAACATACACAAACTCAATATTGTGACTGTATTTTCAGCTTGAAAACACAAATCTCTCTGTTCAAGCGTGATACGGACATCTAAGTCATCAACACGCTGAAATATGTGACGCGACGCATTTGTGACGGCGCTCCCTAAAACAGGAATGTGAAATTAAGAACTCCCTCAATGTCTCACCATGTTCAAGCTGTAAAGACCAGTTTCACATTTTTACATGTTCAATAAGATATTTTGGAGTGTCTTGAGTGAGTACTACGGTGTTAAGAATCAGGTGTCCTCTTGTATTTTATTATGAATTAACTATTGAGTTTTGTGGCCTTTGCGAGAGAGAGGCACTCTGGCTTTGAAGAGAATTATTGAAAACCTGCAAAGCCTAGCGTTGTTACAGTTACATTTAATAATTATGTTTGTTTTTATTCAAAATAAAAGAGAACCTCTTTTAGACTTGCCGTCATTATTTTTCATTTCAAAAAGTGTTTGGCTTTTCAACTTAGTCCTGATGATACAATATAAACCAGTCTTTTCTGGATGAAACTAAACATATTGTAAATGGGCTAGTGTTTTTTTTTTTTGTAATCAAAAATAAAAGCTGTTGGCAGTGTTGAAGCTAGATAACACTCTGTTGACAGCACAGAGTCTGCATCAAACATACACAAACTCAATATTGTGACTGTATTTTCAGCTTGAAAACACAAATCTCTCTGTTCAAGCGTGATACGGACATCTAAGTCATCAACACGCTGAAATATGTGACGCGACGCATTTGTGACGGCGCTCCCTAAAACAGGAATGTGAAATTAAGAACTCCCTCAATGTCTCACCATGTTCAAGCTGTAAAGACCAGTTTCACATTTTTACATGTTCAATAAGATATTTTGGAGTGTCTTGAGTGAGTACTACGGTGTTAAGAATCAGGTGTCCTCTTGTATTTTATTATGAATTAACTATTGAGTTTTGTGGCCTTTGCGAGAGAGAGGCACTCTGGCTGAGAAGTATGTGCTGTTTATTCAAGTCTTGTCAATTCATTCTCACTGCTTCAACCTGGAGAGGGTGAACTGCAACTGCCTTTTTTTTCACTTTTAAACTCCAACTTGACAGCCAGATAGCGGACCGCGGTTTTTCTGCCCACACGGCCGCTTTAGAGTGCCACATTGTCAGCTGTGAATGCTCGCACGCCACGGAAAATGGAGAGAACAACTTGAATGATTCACCATTTTGAAGCCTCGGTTTATGTACTCCTTACACTTCTCTCCTGTGGTATGGCAACCTTAGAAGACATTTATTTTCACTTTACAGGGACTTTAAATGCTGCTGGGTCAAACAGGTACGTGTCCTCCTTCAATACTCTTGGGACAAAAAAAAAACTACACTGAGACACAAGCAATCTAAATCCTGCTGCCAGGCAACATTACAACATGAAGCTCACGTTAAACACTCACAGGCTAGATAGATTTTTTTTGGCCACCATCGCCCCCTTCTCTGACTCCCCAACTACACCCGGCATGGAATGTCTGCTATGCCGCAGCATGCCGACTTTGCTGAGTTTTTTTTTTTTTTTTTTTTTTTTTGTATTCTTTGTCACGACAAGGAAGACTGGACGCGTCACAAACATACGGCATACGGCATTTGCGATGAAGAGCCCAAAATCAGCATGGACATTTGCATCCTCTCGACAGCAGAGTACCACATGCATAAGCAGGGATATTGTGCTGTTGCCGTGGCATACACACACACACGCACTCACAATTATTTTGTGTTGAAGTGCAAGCACCTGTGCTCTCAATAGACTGCAGGTCCAACCCATTCTGTTTCTTCTGCGTTTTTTTTTCTCTTTTGACCTCTCTCTGTCTCTCCCCCTCCATCATCTCGCTGATAAGTGGGAAGGAAGGTGTGAATACCGTATGTACATGATCAATTAAATTGACAGCATACGAACAGAATGAAATTGGAGTCATTTTAGTGTGATCAATGCCACAAAAGGAGCACAGCTTTCACTATTTGAAAGTCACCCAAAGTGTAATTTTAAAAATGAACCAGGACTGGCTCGAGCCCGAGAGACCTTCACCCACTTCTCTCTATTTATGCCTTGGAGTCCAGCGACAGGCGGATTTTTCCTCCCAACGGGGCCAAGGAGGAGCCACAAAGACACATTGTGTGGAGACACAGACGTATTCAGTCTTTGCACCCCCCCCCCACACACACACACACACACACACAACACGCACGCTTTGAAACTAAAAACTGCTAGTAATTGAGCTCACACTGCCATCTAGCGGTATTTACCGACAATGCACTCAGCACGCATCCCCTATTGGTGTGATGAGGTTCGACAGGGACTGAGTCGCCCGTACAGTGCACACGTCTCAAATTTGAGTTCGCAAATCAAAGCATGAAAATAAGTCAACCGAACAGCGTCTTATATCCCACAAAAGTCGGGTCACTTTGCTTTTTGTCTTTAATTCAAACAGAAAATCATCGATTCTGCAAAGTAATTCTCGAAACAATGTAAAGCCTCGGGTCAAGCATGGATTGTGAAAGTAGAAAAAGGTGAATTAAGGATCATTAGTGTACTCAACATTTGAATGACTTCTTTTCATCTGGTAAAAGGCCTCCATTGCTCGACGGCGCCGTCTTGTGGTAGAAAGACTCCTAACGCAACGCCTCAGTTTTCAATATTCCTGTTTGGCCCAATCAAATATGCAAAACGTCAACAAGAGGAATCTAAAAGAGATGCGCAAGATTATTCTTTGACTTTACAACTCAACAAATGGCCGATTTTAGTACAAGTGAGATGACTGCAGCAGATGTGGCTTGTTTAAAAATAGCTTTGTACGTCGATTTTATCCCTCCCCCAATGTAAGTACAAGTTTGTGCTCGCCCAACCGTAAGTTTCAGACATACTCGATGAATAATTGACGTCTACTACGGCAACTTCACCGACTAAACGTGGAGAGGCAATTATTTTTTTTGTACGGCAAAACAGTATTAGCATACCGCACAGGTCAAGTCATTGGGTACACCTTTGAATTCCAAGTACAGGAGCTGTATCAAAACAATTCTGCCTTGATCATTTGTGGTTTTGTTTGACATTCCACCTTTAATGCGAAAGTATTTTTCCGTAACACCTCAAAGTTGGAACTGAAGAAGCCTTTCGGATTAAAGGTGAAACGTCTTCAATAACCAGAAAGAATCCGGTTGCCTTGATTCAATTTTTTTTTTTGTTTGTTTTACATTACCATGACTTGGGTGGCGGAAATTCTACACTGGAAAAAGTAATGACTTTTTAATGCATTGGCTGTCGTTAGATTATGCAGATATACTTACTGCTTTGACACTAGGACTGACAACAGAGCTCTCGGTTTAGGCATCACCAAGGAAGTGCTTGTGCGGCAGCGAAACCCTCGGGGCACGTGAGCGCTGTGCATTGTGGGTAAATGTGTCTCGCACGACGATTCACACTGGTGATAAGTAAGTGTAAACTGTCTTAGATTACGAAATTCCAAGTAAGCTTTTTTTTTCCGCAGTGGAGGGTGGATGATTACGCGAATGTTGATTTGTGTCTGAAATCTAGTGTGGGTAAAAAAGGGGTCCACGATGCATACGAGTGGGTGTGGACTGACTTAGAAAGGAGGAGACAAAAAGTCCACATTTATAGTTGATTCCTTTTTCTGTCTGGGCTACGTCAGTTTCGCTCTTGTTCATCCGGAGAACGAAAACACACACACGCACACGCACACACACACACATCTCCAGGGGACGCGTGGAGAGGAAAGAAAGAGAGAGAGAGAGAGAGAGAGAGAGAGAGAGAGAGAGAGAGAGAGAGAGAGAGAGAGAGAGAGAAACAGAGCAACGGGGACGTTGGCTTTCTCTTTGTACTGGATGAAGAAGAGTTGACTGCCTTCCTTTTTATGTAAGCTGAGTTTGTATGCTGTAAATAGGCCAATAAGCCGGTTACTCCTTTGTACGTGGGAGCGTTTCTTCTGCAGCTCGGACAACAAAGGCAGCTCCTCATTTCAGCAGGATATTACATCTCGCTTAGAAGGACAATAATCGAGCGTCGATCGCCTCGTGTTTGTCCACCCCCCCAAACCCCCCTCTTTTTGCACCTCCGGCCCGGGGGGTTGCATCGGATCTCTCTCGTCAACCCCTCCGCCGAACCGAGCGAGCATGGCGGCCGTCACGAGCCCGGAGACGAGCCCTCAGCCCCGGGTGTATTTCCAGACGCCGGCCGGCACCACGGAGGAGCCCGAGACCCCCGTTCGCAAGCAGGGACGCGTCACCGTCAAATACGACCGCAAGGAACTGAGGAAAAGACTCAACTTGGAGGAGTGGATCATCGACCAGCTAACGGACCTCTACGACTGCGAGGTACAGTCACGGCATTGTAAAACACCCGCCGATCGAACCGATCGATCGGGCAGTCCTGCTAAGTAACACACAGTAGGCCCTTTTTTGTCACCGATCATGTGGCCTGTTTCGCCTTTATAGAGTCAGGGTCGTGTGCATGAGGGGATTGTAGAAACGACTAACCAAGGGGAATGAATGAAACACAATCAACACATGTATCAGCGCGTGCAACTCCAGGTTGGCTATTCATAGCTCACGTCGCCTTTATAGGCAAGCCCCAAGAAGGGGAGGCTGCTCTGCCATCTCATTGGCTGAGAGATCTTTAAAGCACACCTGTGCAATATCCATCCAAGCACTGCAAATATGATCTTTGCAA